GGAAATAAAATACACATTTATATTTAATGTTTAGGTTGGACAGAATGTACATTTCCTATTAATTATTCTAATTTGTATCATACTGTGACACATTCATCCCTTTCTTTAGTAATAGATATGGCATTGTATTTTAGAATATTTAGAACCACACTACATTAAAGTAAAATAGAAATAAAGATCATTTATAATATATATGTAATAAATTCTTATTTAAATAGTTTCTTAACTTATTGAGTAAATAAGATAAAAGAGCTAGAATTGTCAGAACAATCTTCTCTAACCAATATTTAACCAATATTCCAAAAATTGTCAATAATTAAAAATCTAAAATTCCGACAAAGTTAAACTCTTTGAAATATCGGTAGATTCCACTATTGAACAAAATTCTTCGAAAGAAATTTTTCCGTCCATATCTTTATCAGCTTCCATGATTGTCTTATCAACAATTTGTTGAAGCTGATTGTCTTTGAGGTTATTTCCAACCATCATTTTTAGGACAAGAAACAATTCTCCATTTGAAATATAACCATCTCTGTCCATATCGTATACTTTGAAAGCGACTATACAGGATAGTTATATTCATAAAAAAAGTTAAATATAAATAAAATATAAATAAAATAAAAATTTGACACTCACAATGCAACTTTTCTTCTTTATTTCCTTTCGCACTGAAGGCACTCAGTCCAGAAATGAATTCTTCAAAATCTACATCACCACCACCATCCTCATCAAAAATAGCAATCATCCTTGATGCTAATGGATTATTTGCAATCTGTGGAATTGAAAGAAATTCTTCTCGGTCAATAGAACCCGAACAATCTTTATCGAGCTTCATAAACCTTTTATAAAGCCTTTTGATTTCTTCTTCGGTAACTATTAACAAGTAATGAATAGAAAAAATATTAAATAATTATTATAGTCGAATAAATATCTGTCTTTGAATTTTACCAGAAACACATTTGACGTTACAAATAAATTCTAGAGTTACAATTGCTATTGTCAACCATAGCCTGTAAAGGTCGTGACTCGTTTTGTCCCATTCTCGATTAAATCTAAACCTCTTTTTCGCACTATTTAAAATAAAATTAAAATTTTACATTAGCGGTTAATCTGACATTGGTTGGTGATTACCAGCTAGCAAAGTCTGATTTATGGTGAAAAGCAGTTGCTAGGCTAAGAACATCGAGTAACCTTCGAATTTAAACATCATTACTTACCTTTCAACTACAAATGTCAAATCACAAAACTTCGTGTATTTTTAATACAAAATTAACTACTAAACTACCACTACTACAGGAATTATAAGTATGCACGAACATCACGGGACGTTACAATTTAATCTACTTATATACTAAATAAAGTAACTTGTTCTACCATTAAAGGAATACCGGTAACAGGAGGAACCGTCGATGTTACATGATTATAACCTAACACCATTTTATTATAATAAAAATGATGTTGGATTATAATCATAACATGTACTAGCGGAATGATCTGGTATTGTAAATTAATCTTTTTATATGGTTCACACCGGGTGAAAGATCAGTCGTGTAACATCGACGGTTCCTCCTGTTTAAAGGAATTCGGGTAAAAAAAAAAAAAAGGGTTGAATTCGAACGCCTCAGATTGAGTGCTTCACGTTGGAAATTTACTTGCATAACCACGTGAGTGCCTCAACTTAACTCATGTTGGTCCCTCAGAATTCAAATAATATTTCCAAAGACCAGATTTTAATAGATTTATTGATATAGAACCAATCGAAAAGTAATTGCTATTAGTACATTACTTTTCATGTCTTCAATCGAAACAAATAATGGTAAAGGTTTTCCATCCGCAAAACAGTTTCGACGGAGGCTGTCTTTTCGAAATAAGCCAACTCCAGTTCCGGAACCAATATCTATAAATGGCCTCAATTCGGTGCGAGGGAGCATAAGACGCTTTCGTCGTGTTTCTGGAAGTGTTTCAAGTGCGCAAACATCCTCAAACTCAACAACAGATCCCACAAATATCGACCAATCAACTTCTAATTCACAGTCACCAACATTTCCATCCTTTCCCCGTCTTTACAATATAGCATCTATTGCCCGTGAATTCAAAGAGATAAATCTTTCACAAAAGACTGCTGACTTAACGGCTGCTGTTACAGAAATGGGTGTTGAATTGGGTAAAAAAGGCGCAGAATTGAGCAGTATGGCTAAGGATGTTGTCAAGGATGCTGTTGTTGATCGATGGAAAAAACGAAAAGAAGGTGTGTTTTAATCTCAAGGCAAAATAACAGTGGTAATGCTTAAAGATCTGTGTTCTGGGATCATCGAGTATTACATGCTTATATTTACAATATTCACCGACTCGTTAATTTTACGATTTTTAGATTCTTCGTCAAATAGTATTCTTAGCACCAAAAGATTTATATCTAGGGAGAACATTTTTGGTGCACCGCTTAAAACTGCTGTCACCTTAACACGTGTTGAAAAAGATATGAAACAAATTTACAAAGATCCATCTAGGTATTGGGTACCAGCATTAGTTCTAAGATGTATAGAATTTTTGGATATTCATGGTATTGATTTTTTTTTTTTTTTTTAATCACAACCGTTATAATTTATTTTGTTATATGAGAACAATTTATTAATATTTACCGTTTTTAGGTTTAGAAGAAGTTGGTATTTATCGGTATGTTTTTATTGATGATAATATATCGTTAATTTAATGTAGTATATTACTAATTAATACTTTTAATACT